GGCTGGCTCGCTGTCAACTCAGCCAGAAAACCGTCAGAGTGCAGATGAGAGGATGAGGGACGAGAGGACACCGAGGAGCAAGGACAGCGGAAAAATGGAAAATTGAAATAGTAATGAAAAGTAAATCATTGATTTTGATTTAGTGCTCTGTAGTTTCTTTAGAAGAAAAATAACTTAATTTCTTCCTGAGCGTTGGTATTTCTACACATTATAAGAATAGGATCGTTCATAGATAAAGGTCAAAAAACACACAGAGCTAATCAGGATGTAGATATGTACATCTCAGTTACACAACCTCTCCTCACCACTCTTACCAGTATGACCTCATTCTTTAAGCAACATGTTTGCTCAGGAGCATATGGCTGGCTCTGTGTGTGTGTGTATGTGTAATGAGCTCATCCTCTTCCCCCCTATGTAGCAAGCTGTATAGGGCTGAGGGTCTTAAGCAGCAGGGAGAGTCATTGAGAGTGCATACACACAAACACACACCACCTGCCCTGCAGTTCACAGCTGTAGGCCTTATTTGGATGTTTTCTACCTGACAAAAAATGTCTGCATTATTAGAGGATGTTTCAAATATTCTTCTGTGTTTCAGGCAATCTTGAAACCCGTGTGTCTTTTAAAGAGTATCCTGTGGGAGCAAAGGGCAAGTTTTTTGGGCTTCTTGTGTAGCCAGCAGTCAGCAATAAGGACTTCCGGCCAAGACTTCCTTTTCTATTAGTTGTCTTCGTTTACAGTCTGACTAGCAACTTCAAAAGTTGGAGTCGAGGTTGGGAAGCCACATCTAAGGAGGGGATGCTAGCTGCACTTGCATGAAGAAATCTGCTTAAAGCCCTCAATTAAAGGTTAATTGTTGTTTAAATAGAGGATACTTTCGGTAAAGCCAACAGTAAAGGCCTTGTGTTCAAGATGATGTATTCAGATTTACTGGAAACACAGGCCACTTAAAACATGTTTGAAATCATCATGACAGAAATAGTTTCCCATACAACACTCCCTTACCTGTATATGAGTTGACTGACAGAATTTCAAGTTAAAGGATAAAGATTGTCACATTTTATTACATTACTTTGAGTTGCTTGACATTTCTGGTAGTTGTGGGAAGATCAGCACTTTGGCCCTTTTTAAAGGATGATGTCACTACATTTCAATCACATTTATGCAGAGTAGAAGACTTACATAATCCACTAGGAAAGGGCCTCTCTTTCACTTCAAGTTTCGCTGTGAGAAAGTTGAAGAGGCTCTTATATAGGTCGTGCAGTACAGTACATCTTAATGCCTAGAGTAATTTTAATGTCATACTTACTGCGAGGGGCTTCTCCAAGTCAACCTGATCAATTCATTTGGACATTTAGTCTGCTTTAATTTGACTGATTCACTGTGTCCACTGAGCTGTTAAAAACCCGTATGTACAGCACAGTCTTCTTTACTATACATACATGCCACAGAGGTCATACATGTATGCATAAACTACTGTACGCCTTTGCCAGTGCCATCTATGACCATTGGTGTGTGTATGTACAGTATGTTGAGAGCATGTGGGTGTTTGGACCCTGTGAGTGGGTGCACGTGTGTGGTCTTCAGGCTATGGAGAGCAGTAACAAAGTTGACAGGGGGCCTTAGAGATTCAGGGCAAGGTGCCAGAAAGCAAACAAAACACGTGTGTGCCGCACCCCCCCCCCACACACACACACACACACACACACACACACACACACACACACACACACACACACACACACACACACACACACACACACACGCATATTGCGTCCTCTGATCTCAGGGGGCATCTTCTCTGGTCCGGGTCACTGGCAGCGAGTGCTCGGTTGGGCTCAAAAGTATCACCACGGCAACTGCATCGCATAATCCCATTCCATCTCATCCCATTCACGAGCTGTGTGCGACGTGATAGGCCTGTTCCCCCTGGGGCACCGAGGCAACGGCTCAGACGCTGTCTGCTTACTCTGTGTGTCAGCGATTGCTCTGAGTCTGTGGGCGGGGAGCGAGGAACGCATTAAAGGAACGTTTGGCGCATTTTGGCAGGAGACTGTGTGAATTATGCAGACGCACCCCTACTGTGTTTGTGAGTGTGTGTGTGTGTGTGAGTGTGTGTGTGAGTGAGCGTGTGAGTGAGCGTGTGCGCAGTGATGCCAGTCCTTCATGAGGGGGACATGCGACTGTAAGCACACAATATCCCTTCTTTAGTCCTCTGTGACAAAACATTTTAGTATTTCCACCTTTTGTACCGTACTCAGTCTTAAACTCCATCTTTTTAAAGGTCTGCTTTTACCAGAAAATTACTTAATTATTATTAAGTATATTTGTCTTTTTACAAAATAAGTGGAGTCAGCGAATAAAACCATTAAAATAACTTGCACAATTAATCACCTTTCTGGAGATAAGTACTGTTGCAGTGCTCTGAGTTTCATGTTTTGTTTTGTTGTAAGTTTGTTGTAAGAAATGAGAAGCCAGGACAAGAAAAGTCATAACAATAACTGAATTACACAAACAGCTATATTTTATCAAAATAACCATAAAACACACTTTTATTTATTTTATTCTCTTTCTCCTGGTTTCCTCCCTACACCCATCTCTCACCAATTGTATCTCTCATCTCCCCCCCCCCTTCCTTAGTCTTTGACAATGTGGGCTTCTTTAGTAAGAGAGCATTTACCTTCACCTTTCTCTGTCTCTCTCCCCTCACTCTGCTCGCTCACACACCCTCACCCTCCATCACCGTCCCTCTTTGTTTTTCTGAGGCATACACAAGCAGTCTGATTTAAAACTCAGCTGACAGTTTGCATCCAGTTTCATTGCTCCTCTTCTGTCCTCCTCCCACTATTTCTCCTTCACTTACATGCACTCCCCCCCCAATCACTCCTTGCCATCTCTCCCTCCCTCTCTTGCTCCAGCTGTCAGTGCGCTTCATTATTAAAGATTCATGCTGGAGTCTGGGCAGCTTCTCCAAAAGCTTTTGTCAGACAGACCGAGTGTCTCAAATCTCACTGCCACTAACTGGAGGTGACAGAACGTGCACACACACACACACACACACACACGGTCTAATACATACACACACACAATCCCTGTGTTTTGCGCGACTATTTTATTATCTGTCCAGCCCTTTTTAACTCAAATCATCTTCAAAACAGCATTCTCAGTGCCACTTTTCATTTCTCCTAACATCTTTAAAATCCTTTAACCGTCCCTTTTCTCTTGGAGATGACAACTGCACAACGGTACCACACTGTTCATGAATGTTTTAAATCTTTGACACTCACTACGGTGTTTTAAATTCCCTGTTTTGGATAGGCTCTGTATTTTGTAGTCACAGTGATCTGTATTTTCAGAAAAACATTGTTTTAAATTTCATATTCCATGTCTTCCATCATGTTTTTAGTGATTCTTTTATCTGATGAGGGCTGCACTGTTTCACCAGCATGACGGCTCAGCTGTCTGCCTGCCTGCCTCTTTTTCGCTCACTCTCTTTTGCCCATCCATTTGCAAACACACGGCTCAATAAAATGAGATGAGATTCAACTTTATTGTCATTACACATATACAAGTATAGAGTAACGAAATGAGGTTGTAAAATGGGCTGTACTATAATTAATCACAACATGAAGAAAACGCTGAAAGAAGGAGAAATGTGCTTTTTTTTTTTTTTTTTTTTACATTTTAATAATTAGACTGAATGGTGCATGTGTTTGTCTGCCTCCTAACCCTAATGCAGGGCCGAAATGACTTGACAAAGGATGATGTTGTGTGAACCTGGAACTTTATATATTTTTGCACCATAAATTACTGGAATCAGATCAACTATAGTACCGCTGTCCTCATGCTCATACACATCAGCTCTTTCTTTCTTTCATAGAAAACCAAAAAGAAACCAGTTCCTTACTTTGGTCCTTCAAAGACAGGGGGTTGCAAATATTAGTTGCCCATCTGAAAAAGATAACTTTTGCTTTTAGTTGTTCAAACTTTAACACAGCTCAAAGGAAAAAGACTGAATGTTAAAGAAGATGTTGTTGATTAAATATGGCATCGTTTGTTGATCTAAGTTACCACAAGTGATGTATGAGACATTGTAATCACACCTACATAAGTAACTATTGTGAAGAACACATTGTCTCAATACAACAGTGTCCTATTCAGTACATTACAGTATTATTAAAAGAAGAATAATCCATAACAACCCACATTTTGCACCCTGGGAATCACCTTGAGCTCACTCTCCTCCATTCTTTCATGGATGTGTCAGTAGTGAATAGCTGATATACCACCAGAGAAAACAACAACAACAGAAATTCTCCTTGTAGTAGGAAGATTTCACGGACAAGTTACATGGTGTGCTTAATCACACAGACCAATATTGAATTAGAACTACTGGTATGTGCTGCTAGATGTGCAACCTGTTGGCCTTGTTCCTTGTGAAACAGTGAACAGTACAGACTCTTCTTTTCTTAGTACAGGTTCAATCCAGTCAGATTCATTCCAGCCTCTTGCTATTTATTTGATGTTTTAGGTTAATTTATCTTTGATTCAAAGTAATGGGTTTGATATATAATATGCTGAACAAGTCAACACTGAAGTCCATCTTGCTTGTACAGCTTTATCAGTTGTTCATTATAACATATATTCAATTACCTTTAAGTGGCAAAGCTTATTGCTCAATTGTCATTGCATACTGAAATGGGAATATGCAGTTTAAGACATTTGGTATTGAACTTTCTTTTAACTTTCACACATGGTTGCATTGGAACACCAAATTTGTAATAAAGTGACCAGTCCAGAATCATTAGGATTTATGGATGACATAAAGTTTTGAGACCAAAGCCAGAGAGTGCTGGTGTGGTGCCAGCTGTCTTATGTTCCCCAGTGTTTCCACATGTTAAATGAAAAACACTTAGCTGGGATTTTACGAACAGTTGGTGTTAAATCCCTGCGTTTTCTGCTTATGTTAATCTTGTCGTCTTTCTGGCATTTTTTCCCAACAGAAAAGCCCAGGATCAGCAGAAAAAGGTGGTGGTAGCAGGTTGTGTCCCTCAGGCTCAGCCACGGATGGAGTACCTCAAAGGACTCAGCATCATTGGGGTATGTGTGTGTTCTTATTTATGTGCAAGTGTACATTTCCTTAGTTTTGTGGGGGATAATCAGAGATGTACACACGTTGCTTATACCCTCAGTCTGTGTATTGCCCTTTGTTCGTCTTTTTTGTGTCTAATACCTTTTAAGAGTACAGACAGACACTCACAGAGACACACACACACACACCAACAGTTTGACCTGTCATTCACCTGGCTGACAACCTGCTGGGTCTGTTCTATTTTGTGCTCTCTGCTGCCTGGCTGATCAATAGACCCCCCATGAGACAAGGCCGAGACTACTTAGATGAACACGATGGGAAGGAGAAAAGTAAGACAAAGTAATAGAAGGAAAAAATATGAGAAGGATAGAATGAGGCATAAAGGAATCTCAGTGTATATGAAAGATAAGCGTTAGAGGACAGAAAGTTCAGAAAATTAAAGGAAATACAATAAGACCGTTAAGCATATGGCTGTTTAGTTGTAGTTGATTTCTAATTTGTGTTAAGCAAATCATTAACCTCAGCACTTCATGTCAACAGTGTCCAGACCAACCAGAATGCAATAAGAGTTTCTTGTTTTGATTTTCCATTATGCTGCCGTTACTTTAATTTTTGATAAATAATCAAACTGGTGTTGCCAGTCTGAACTACTTAGGTCCGTTCACACAGAGCTAGAAAATCGCACATTTTTCTGGTGGTTTTTGGCCGCGCATAGAAGTTAAAACATTTTCATCTTTTCAGCTCAATGCACAGTCACAGCGCTCTTCAGTGTCACTTTTGGCCGAAGCAGCCAATCAAATCAAGTAGGAGGCTTTACCTCTTCTTTTTATGACCAGTTTCCCTCCTTACTGTCTACAAGAAAAGCAACACTAAGAGCTCTATGTTTGCTTGAATCCATTTCCCCACCTATTTTTTCAGGTGGTCCATATTCACATGTCCGTCAGCTTTTTATATATTCAGTAAGCTATCAGTTAAATATAATGCTGGTCATTAAGAAGACAATCTGATGTTTGGACAGTTAACCTTTTCATTACCACTACTGTTAACATTACAAGTAGCATTTGAAACATTGACAAATACCAAACGTTCATGGATATTTGTCTTGTTTTTAGTTTTAATGGGCTTGCCCCCCTCCATTTAATTATTTAATCCATAAAACAAAACAGAAAATAGGATGAATAACAGAGCACAAACTAGAGGAGACTGTAATGTACATGGCTATAGAATTTAATTGAGTGAAAAGGTGATGTCTGTCAGAGAGTGGATACCAGACCTGAGCCCATCAGGGCCCGTCGCATAATAAAAAAACAGTCAATTGTACAGTTAAGTATATACACTCTACACTTAAGACAATAAAATGATCCATAAAGTCCTTTGTGTTTGTTGCATGAACTCATTACAGTTCAATGTTTTACACATGAAACATTTTTATATTGCACCACCCTGATCCTATGCAGTGGTCCAATGTGTGGGTAAAAACAGGACTTGGAAGGTACATATGTAAATACTTTTGGCACTCGTCATAAACAGGATTCTTTTTTTTTGTTCCCTTGTCTATTGAAGGTGACTTTGGACAGTCTGTCACTCTCTTTTATAAAACTCATACTGTGAAGTGAGAGATTAGTGGGTTACACAACAAACAGAGAGGGAACCATCAGACATCACAAAATGTGTCACAGCTAAAACTGAAAATTCTGTTTACCTCAGGGGAGTCATAGAAATATGCAGATATAACAACAGGAGGCAAAAAGCAAACGTCCTTTTAAGTAGATTGTCGGGTGTTTTGGATTGCTGTGCCCCTATATTGCATTTCCACTCCTAACCCTGTGGTGCAGGTATGAGTAGACTGTAGAGCAAGCTGTGATACGGAGCAATTATTTAATTTTCTTTCTGTTTTAGCTCAGTAATCAGGAGGAAACTCAAATAATGTGAGTGTTATTGCTATTTAAAAGCTGTGTGTTTCTGATTAAATCTCTGATGATGTTTGTAATTAGAAAATGAATGATTTCTTATCTGCTGTCACTTTCCAGGAACAAACAAAAGCAAATGAGACAGAAGAATAATACTTACGTATTATAACATTGTTGTTTGGTCAGTCTTTTGAGTAATGATAAATAATGAAAATTGGTCTAGCTATAGTTTTTTTGAACATATTTAGCAAACATAAAATGGAAACACTTATTCCATCTATAGAAGACTTTAATAATTCCCACATATGTAAGAAAACATACAGCTGACCAATTTAGAAGAATCACTTATGCATGCATTGCTTTGTTCACTCCGTGCACACAGAGAAACAAGCTTTGCCTAACAAATCAAGACATAAAAGCTCAATCTAAATTTTACATGATGCTGGATTTATTTGCCTATGTACAAACAAACGGCCTCATTGAAAACTGGGATCAATGAAGCAGTCCAGTATGTGACTCTGATGACTGCCACTGTGCGTAAAAATAATGCATAGGGGCTGTCTCAACTGTTATGTTAAATATCCTCTACCATGAATAATGTTTTTCCATTTAAGTAAACATGCCACCGTGAAACATAATTGCATTCAAATTAAGTTGCATGTATGTGTAATATAATTACATTCAGATAAACAGGCTTGTATATGTAATAGCCTTCAGGGCGAGGCAGCAACATCTGGAAAGTTTACCACTGTCAGTCCTTCTATTGTCATGACTAGATTGGATTATGCATTTAAAGACACACACACTGACGGGGGCAGGCATGAAGACCCACACGTGATAACAAACACTGACAGAGGTATATGAGTATGCACACACTCCCCTTGTGTATCCTTGGTAGTTACAATCAGCCGCACAATGACAATGACAGTTGGTGGGTTATGCAAATGACATGCAAATACCCAGTCGTGAATTTGTATATTGTGATTGCACTAACGGCTAGATGAGGGGTGTAGTTATAAAAAAAAAAAAAGTGCTTCCTGTTGAATTCATTCAGTTTAATTGACCCGTGTGTCAGCTTTCATGTGTGTTTCTGTTGTGTTTTTCTCTCTGAAGTCACTGTGAAATGAATGACAGCATATTGTGTTTAAGGTAAACAGACAGTCACGCAAACCTGCTGTGTTCATCGTCTCTGAACTAGACATGTCACATCCTGTATCTGAGACACATCACACAAACACACTCTCACACACACTGTGCTGGCTAGGTAATCAGAGGATTACAGTGGGTAAGCAATGTGGTAAACACAAGAAGCACGCACATCAGTCTTTTCAGAGTACATGTATTCAGGCCTTATGTTTGCTTCATAAGTGAATATTATGGGCCCAGTCTATTTTTTTTTTTTTTTAATTGTTTCAGCCCAATTTCTCACAAATCACATCAGCTTCACATTACTGCTTATGCAAGTGTATGATGTTACACAAACTGACAATTTATGTAGTATAACCTGGTTTCATTTGTTCCCTTGAGCTTCACTCCCTGATAGAGTTTGCTCCTTTTATTAATCAAATAGTAGTTGAGAAATATTTCCATGTTAGTTTGATAAAGCCAGACCAGCTGTAGACACATTTCTTAAACTAGGTACTCTGTTATAAAAGCTAGTGATAGCCTCTCTAAATGTGTGTGTCTGTATGTGTAGATTATTGGTATAAAATGTAGCTGTTTGTGCTCTATAGCTACAAGACGTAGCAAACGTGTGAAATGTATAACCAGAAAAAATAGTCAAATATTCAGGTCATTTAGCAAGTTATTTTCTATAGATGTAACTGAAACCGACTAATATTATTTGTTTGTTCAACATGTATATATTATTTTCTTATTCAAACACTCACTCAGTTGTATAAATCAGGAATAAAGCCCTTAAATATAAATAATATCTGGCTCTTCCTTTGTGTAGGGATACCTGCTGTTCCTCTAAACTAACCCAGATTGCCGGGCCATTAGAGGAATGGTCAAGGCACAGTGTGCATGTGTTTGAGTGTTTGAAGGAAAGGTTTCTCTGGTTAATGGGCCTCAAGGCATCCAGAATAGACGCCACAGGCTAAATCCTTTATAAATAGAGAAAGTAAATGGTATAGAGATGAAGGAGATGCTGGGAAGAAAAACAAAAAAATCATGAGAAATAATTGCTTAACTTTTCCCAACACTCCCTCATCCCTCTCTGTCTCTTATCAATCACCCCTCTCTGCCAGCACTGAAGACGAGTAGCAAAAGGATGGTGGATATGTCGAATCCCTACTCTTTCCATAACCAGCACAACCTTCCAAAAGTCCAGTCTTGCACATTTCTTTCCATGAAATACTGTTTTTCTTTACTGGAGGGATTTGCAGGATTTACTTCATAGATTAGAATGAAGAGAAAAAGTAATTTACTTAATCTTTACATGATTCTGTTTTTATTAATTACTGGTACATCTCAATGTAATGATGTGCTTTTGATTTACTCATACCTTTATTGTCATCTCTCTGCAACCCACTCTACCACTTTCTGTTGCCACCACATTGTGCCTCATTCAATAGATAATGTAGGTGGTGCTGCAGCCGCATAGACACCTAGTGGCATTTAGAAAATCTATATCACTTAATCCTGGCTGGAGAAAACTTGATGTGATTGAATCTGTCTGTGCTTGTTTGTCTCTGTGTGCATTTCTCCACATTGTCTTTGTGTATATTTACATGCAAACCTTGTTTACACGTGGATCACTATATTTGTGTTTGTGTGGATGTCGATAGCAGGCTTTTGTTTGCTGTGTGCACTTGGGTTTGTCAGCATCAATAAACTTTTCCCATGTGTGTCTGTCTGTGTTTCAGGTCCAGCAGATTGATCGGGTGGTAGAAGTAGTGGACGAGGCTGTTAAAGGTATTTCAGCACACACAAACACACTCACTTTATGAGTGAGTAAGTATTCATTTATCAGCTGTCGAACCTGAAAGAATTACTGTCTGTGATTGTTTCTATAGGAATTTAGGCTTCTGAGCTTGAAGAATTTTCAGTTAAGCAGTCTGTCCGCTTAATGACAGAAAACATGGACTTACTATGATTTGACTGTAATGTGTAAGAATATACAACTCTGCTCTATAATTGCACACAATAATAATAAAAAAGAAGTTTTGAATTTGTTTGTGTTGTAGTGCTCGAAATTGGTCTTGGTCTCCAAACCACTTTTTGAAGGTCTCGTCTTGGAATCTGAAGCATTTTTACTTGGTCTTGACTCGGTCTCAGACTGGGCGGACTCCGAATTTTAAATCGAGACCACTCAAGACCAGCACTCATCCGCTCTTTTCAGGTCATTACTCTGATCAAAAGGAAAACTTCCCTTACTAAAAGAACAAATCATCTCAATTCATTCATAATTTCATTTTTATCCCCCGGTTACGGCCGAAGATGATGATTTTTCATTGATATTTATGGTTATGGTCTTGGTCTTGTCTCGGTCTAGGTCTAACCCTGTCTTGGTCTTGGTCTCAACTCTGTCTCAGTCCTTAAATATCTTGGTCTTGTCTTGGTCTCGGAGCACTGTGGTCTCAGGCGTGCCTTGGTCCCAGTTAGTGTGATCTTGACTACAACACTATTAAATAATTGACCTGCTCATTTATTGTTACATTTTGTCCAGACAAATTATTGTCGTTGTTTTGCTCGAATGTTTTTTAGAAGATTCTGTACTGTTCAAAATACAAATGGACCTACAGAAGTCAATCTTCATGTGTCACTACTATGTCATAATTAAGAGGAGAGTGACAAGGAGAGTACATCTCCTCAAAGTATATGCAACAAAAACCCTTCTTCTGGACTTAATTCCTCAGTAAGATTAGTGGTTAAGATTGATGTCCTGCATTTTAAAGAACCTGATCAGTGTTACTTGCAGAATCTAATCCTGCCTCACTGTCTGAGCAGCTCGTTAAATGGTCTTCCCGATCTGAGACGCTCATTGACAGCGAGGCGAGCTCACATGGCAGTGATTAGGTCATTCATTTTAACTGTTAGTGAACCACCGCACTAAACTGTTTAATGAAGGTCAGGCAGAGTTTACAGTGCGAGAGTGTCCAGTCAAGCTGTCAAGCACCCCCAGCTGTTCTCTAATACAGAACAGATTGAGCTTACACTGAATGCATGTGTGTTTGTGTGAGTGACTAGTTTGCACTGCAGGCCTCACTCTAATGAAGGACAGCTGAACTGAGGCTTAATTTTACAATGTGTCATCAACCCTAAATCGTCTGGCTGCACATATGCACACTTACACGTGCACACTGTGACTTTTATCCTCCCTTTCTTCTCCATGATTTGCTCATAATTTCCTATTTCTTCCCTTCCCTTCTTCCTCTGGTTCTTCAGCGTCTTTTGATCCATTTTTTCCTCCACTCATTGCCTTTCTCAACGCCCTATTCCATCTCCTCGTCTCTCTTTTCCCTCCGTTTTCCTCCTTCCTTCACCCCCTCCATAGAAACTAATTTCCCCAGTATCATTACAGTTCTTTATGACCTCGTATAAACGGAGAGCTGTTATTTCAGCTCGGAGGCCTGGGCATAAACCTTTAAGCTCAGGGATTTGCCTTTCGTAATGGCTACTAAAATACTTACTTCAATGAACAGCTAATAGACACACAGAAATTGCTTGCAGGTCTGTTTTCCACATGACAAGAGTACTGGCATGCTTTTAAGACCTAGGTTTCTTGAGGTGTGAGACTGTCTATTGAGTTTGGACTGAGGCTTCAAAAGAACTCTGCGAGGTTACTTCAGTACAATAAAATTGCATTTAACCATTGAACAGCTACCTAACATAAAGTCCAAGTTACTACTTGTAAATGGCAGAGTATTTTATCTTGTGGTTATCACAGGTTGGGCTGCTGAGCATGTACACAGTACTTAACATTTATACAGCTACATACATTACAGCTACTGCCCAGTGTCTGGTTGCCTGCCACTGTGCAGCGTCAGTGATTTGGTGGGCAGTGTTGTTACTGCGGTCACATGTTTGCTTATCCAAATCAATTATTTTTCAGCTGTGCCAGATGTTGATTTTCTTGCGGACAACAAACAAAGCCTTGGATTTATCAGAATCTACGGGCAGGTCCATAAAAATGAATTAATGACACCCATAGAATGGATACACATTTTTGCAAGAGCATCTAGCCACATTTGGTGTCTACTGATGATTCTTAACAAACAAAAACACCAGTCCAATGTGTTATTGAAGAGTGAAATAAGGAAAATCAGTGTTTACATTTTTAAAACCAAGATAACATGTGTACATAGGCACACAAAGGCGTCATGTTTTCACTCCTACAGGAAATCAGACTTCCGCTGAAGTCTGATTTTAGCACCATTAATAAATAAGTGCTGTTCCTCTTTCTTTATAGGGCCGTTTCGATGTCTTCATTTCTTTATTGGCCTCCTAATATTGATCTCCTCTCACTGAGATGATGGCCTCGGATGATACGATTTCACCCCACATTCCTTTATCTTTCAGAAAGAATTAGATTTAGTGTGTCTGTGTTTGTGCGTGTGCGTGTGTGTGTGTGTGACAGGGGGCAGAGAAGGTTAGACAGGCTAATGTATCTACTTAGCTACAGATCAGAGGCTATATAGTATCCATATAACCTCATGATCCTTATTTCAGCAAGATAAACAATCTGTGTATATCAAAGCTGCAAAAATAAAGCAGGAGTTAAAAAAAACAGACAAGAGGGAGAGGAAATAAAAAGCAGGTACAAAGAGAAACGTTGATGCATTCACATTTATTTCAAGTCCTCTGAACGATATCTTTAATGCTCAGTGACCTTTCTTAAAGTCACATAAGCCAGCTTTGTCGAGGAGCTTGTCATTGTGAAGCATCAAAGCCTGGTGTATGGCTTTTTCAAAGAACTACTCTTTCCATTATATCACAGCATAGCCTTACTAAGTACTACATTTGATATGCATCTTAGATAGTTTGCATTAAAATTGATTTAAATGACATTTCTTTCTAAAAACATTCTGCCTCTTCAAAGACAGTCATACATACCTTATAACCTGTTCCAACTAGAGGAAAATGACAAACATTACACCCCTCCTGTCCTCATCTGCCACTTTTGTCCCTCCTTTCTGACAAACCCCCACACCCTGATCCTCCCTGCAGCTTTACAATCAAACCAGGGAGCAAACAAGTCCCTTCACTTATGAGACATCAGGCACAGGTCACCAGGTCAATCTTTTAGCTCCCTACCTCTCCAATCCAACCATCCATCTGGCTATCCTGTACGTCTTTCATCCGTGATGTATTTTTCTATCATCACTCGACCATCCATCAATCTACCCCCCCCCCCCCAATCTATCCCTGCCTTCCCTCCCTCCTTTTCCATACCATGTTATATTGGGCAGTTATGAGAGGAGAGAAGGATTTATGTTGGTTTGTATTTATGAAGGAGAGAAAAAGAACAAAAGAGAGAGAGAGAGAGATTGGAAAAAACACAGCTGGGAAAGGTGGAGGGCAGTCAATAACTAAAAAATGTGCTATAGGGTGATGTGTGTGATGTTGCCCGTCACTGCAGTTGGGCTCGCTAAACGCAGTAATTGAGATGACAAATAGTGCAGCATTCTTCAGTTTTCTACTGCACCTCAAGTCAACTTTTTTTTTTTTTTTTTTTTCTCTTACTTCCCATTCATGGTCCCCTCGGCCCTGAAATTGAATCTGGCTTTGGCATTCTCATGGAGAGATGTCATGCTGGGAGTGAAATTATTTCTTGAACCTTTGGTGGAACACGGACAAGGGGGCCCTGTCTGTGCAGATTTAGAAACAAAAAGTGGATGTAGGAATTAAGTCAATTTAAAAGTTTTATATTTACAAGGAATCTATCATATTAGAATAAAAAAAATGCAGCATAAAGGATATTGCCTCCTCTTGACAAGCTGTATGCAAGCAGGTATTTCAAACTTTTTGGCAAAACTAAAACCATTAGAAACAAAAGTCATGTCAACAATCTAAAGTAAATTGTTATTTCAATCCTCTAAACATTGCATCCTTCATGCAAAGTCCTGAGTCAAAGCTCGGTTTGTATTTTAACGGTTTAGTCAGCCAGTGAAGCTTTACATCTCCACAGTCTATTGAAAGTAGTAAAAGTCAGTAATAACATGCCCTGTTGTGCTTTGGAAAAAAAAATAAAAAATTCCCCCCATTTTTGAACTCCAGTGTGATGGACCCAATACTACATTAGATTGTGCTATTTTTTTATCATCCCAGCAGAAAGGTTAGGCTCGCCTGTCCTGTGAACATGTTTTGGGTTGTATTTATTCATAAAATGAGCCTCTCATTATTTTCACAAAATGATACGGAGGCTCAAACAGAAGGCAGCTTGTGTTTAATGTTTTTAAAGGGGGATCTAGTCAATTACATTTCTATTGTCAGGCCTGAGGCATTTAATCAAAAAGAGAACACACTCGAGACCATCACCATCTTTGGAGTGTAATCTTGGCTTTTCTAAACTCTCTCAGTTTTCTCCAATAACCTAATTGTATGTTTAAAAGAACTGAAGTCGGAACTATGAAATTGTCAAATTAAATATTTATGTATGGGTGAATTGATCGATCAGTCAACAGATGGAGCAACAGTTACAGAGTGAAGAATATTAGAACATGTCTGAGTCTCAAATCCATGCTTTATGACCCAGAGACCTCACTGATAGCTAGCTAGAGGACAGCATGGCCGAATGTGCTCTGTTGAAGTCCCAGCTGTTTTCCACAAGGGAAGTTTTTTAATTTCCTTGCATGTACTGGGATATTACGACCAGTCACACCCCACCGATTGGCTCTTTGTCCTCCTCTGGGGCAGATTGTCATTTTTATCTACCAATTGATAGCCATGCTTCCTGCCCTGAGCCCACCCTCCCAGGAGACCCGTGTAAAGCGGATGAAAACAGGAAGACAATTCCATCCCTCAGCGCCTCCATCTCGCTCACCCTCTAGCCGGTAGCCTATTAGATGGAGTGGAGAGACTACTGCATCCCATTTCTGCACAACAAAGGCCAGACATCATCTGCTATCAGCTATTAGACTCTGCTTTGGATTTTCAAATGCTTCTGTAACACAGTGTGAGACCGACTAAGTGATCCCAGTTTAAGAGTTGTGACCAGACCAGTTTGTTTTGAAGAACCTCCCATTTGCGTCCTGTCCTTTTGATGCTTCAATGTTTCCAACTTTTTTAACATATTGGAAGCACAGTGGAATTATAATATCATGTTTTTCCTTCTTACATATCTGAGTTTCCCCATTCTGTCATAAAGGTTTAAAATGCATCTGATGCCAGAGGTTGGCCTGCTTTGCTTTTTTGGCTCAGCTTTTTGACTATACATTTAGATCTGCCATTGCAGTGTGCTATGGGAATACATCCTACTAAATAGATGAGAAAATAGTATTACAGTAAAGTTATTTAGAGGTAGATATTACATTTTATTTTTGTTCTTTGGTGAATGAATGAGGGAGATTTAAATGTATTGTTATTAAATGTTTTTGTGTGTATGTCAGTGTTAGCATACTGTATGTTTGAGTTTGTGTAGATACAGACAAATGAAAGAGCAAGTAAACCAATCCTCAAAACAATGAGCTCTTGTCTCTTATCTCTGCTTTCTCTTATGTCATGTCAATCAACAATGTGAAAAATCTCCCTCATCAGTTTGTTTGTTTTTAGCAGAAAGCGTGTTGGCTATTTTTTAAACAGGGTATCTCCTAGCTGATGTGTTTAACTTGGGTTATTACTTTTCAACATCAAAATCCCTTCTTCTGTGTATCCATCCACACAAAGACCTGCGTGATTGAGTGTTACTGGTGCTGCAAGTAAATAATACTGAAAAGGTGATACTTAATGTTTGAGTTTGAGGATTAATATCCAATTGGCCGTTGTCGTTTTCAGGACATTCAGTTCGTCTGTTGGGTCAGAAGAAAGACGGAGGCCGGAGGCTCGGAGGAGCACGGCTGGACCTGCCCAAGATCAGGAAGAATCCCCTCATTGAAATTATCTCCATTAACACTGGGTAAGATACAGACACACAATACAGCATGGCTCATCAAATATTTAGCTTTAACTGTGAATTCAATTTCCCCGCTTCCCTGCAATCCTGGTTCATGCCGTGTTTAGTTGTGCGTGTGCCTTTGCGTGTTTGCCCACTCTCTATCTTTGCACAACCATTTAAACAGAGCCCCTCTGTGCTTCTAATTTCATCAGTTTCACATGGTTTGCTTGAGGAATGTGTGAACCATGCAGTTTGTATGTGAGCGCATAAATTGTTGTTTGTTCTTTAAATATAAATGGAATAGAAAACCTACACCTGTCAAGTCACTTGTCTCTGCTCTCTCTTATTACCGTCATAAAAACAGAAACCGCTGCACAAGTAGACCCTTGTCGTGATTTTCCCCAATGCTATGGTGTTTTTTTATTATCTGTGGATAATTATTTATCATTTTGCCGCTTTTTTCAATGACAGTCTTTGTTCAAAACTGCGTATGAGGTGTGTGGTTGGAAACATCTTACCATAAACCGTAATCCCAGTAAAAAAGATTTAATAATGTTGATAGAGGAATAAATGTGCATATTATAGAGAAATGTTATCCATAGATGGATGGACATGCCTATTTTATTTATGAGTAGATGCAAAAGCACAGACACTCACACCACTCACATGTACACCCACATTTTTATGGGCTAATTTCATGTTGTTTACAGATCTGTATGTCCTTGCTAACCCCGTGCTGTGGTCTCAGTGGGCTAGTTAGAAAGGGTTACAACAGACTAATTCCACTGCGCTGGGCCTCCACTGATGATAATCCATCAATCATGTGCTTGCCTGTCCTCAGTGTCTTTCCACTAATGGCTTGACTTACAAAGCTAGGAAGTAAATAACTTGTGGACACAGCATTATGAGACTCAAACATTCTTTAGCTTGAGCCTATTGTTTGCACATTTGTTACTGTCAGTAAGGGGCTGTCAGCATTGTACTGGAATTTCCATTCTTGTCCTTGAAGCTCTAATCGCACCAGTGTCCTTGTCTATGAAACACAGTGAGCAACCAATAAGAAAGTTGTGACCTGTTTTCAGGTCCTGACACAATAGTTATTACTGGTTTATTACCAGATTTACTACCAGAGCATTTTTATGGTTATTTCGGGTGTGATACTGATGCAGTAGAGATACATGTGATGCTGGGCAGTGATAACAAAGCCACATATCACTTGTTTTTAATCATACATTTTTATAAGTTTGAAATATTGTATCTAAATCTTACATTGAAGGAGGTCAATCATGTGGAAAACTGTAGCTTCGACATAATACTGTTGTTTAACAACATTGTGTCATTATTATTACTTCTTGATTAAGTCAAGGTCAACTAAAAAGAGTAAACTGTGTCTGATGTTTATATTCTGGAGATTTTAGTTGTCTTTATTCCAGATTAATGCTTCTTATACACTTCATACAACAAGTAAACTGTGAATCCAACTTGTTAAGCCATAGTTCTTCCAGTGCTGGACAAAGTACACACATTCATTATGTGAGTTAAAGTAGAGATACACAACACACCAGGAATGAGTATATATTGAAAAGTTTAGCCTTTTTTTCTTAATCCCTTCCTGTAAAATCTGGATCCATCTTTACACTACTTCCTAATTGTCTCAACTGTTTCATTTGATTGGTTTACTCCTGGTTTTGTTCTTATGGATTGCTCAAACTGATGCAGCCACCCTTCAATAGCCTCTCTGTGTGTTTTGGGTAATTTTTGATAAATGAATCTATCTCTCTATTTCCTCTGTTTTGGTCGCTTCAAATCATTACTACATCTGTTTTTCTTTCTTTGGCTGCCTGTGTCCCTGCTCATCCAACCATTTCATTGTCTGTGATTCTGTGGGCTTTCCAGCCTGGATGTGTAAAATCTCGTTTGTTGTGGTGTGTTTATGTGTGGCAGATGTCAGCCCCTTGCCAGCGACCCTCCAGCAGGGGGTCTGTATTTGATCCAGATGAACTTGCTGTTGTTTTTCAAAAGGGTCCGGCTGGCTACAAATAAATCCCTTTGTTGATTTTACTCTCTTTACTGGAACTCTTTTAGGAACCAGGGGGATTACTCGAATATGTTCACCGGATGAAGCAGCTGTTGACAAATCTCCCAAATAACACTGGTGTTTCTGAAAATCCAAGCTTAATGTGTGCCTTTGTGTTTTTGGTCACTCTTAGTGTCACTAATTTATCATGTTTCTGGTTATCTATGTTGTGTGATTGTGTGTAAAAGATAGAATGTGCTGTCTGTGGGTTCTCTTTTAAGACGGTCTGTTTTAAATGTTCCTCTGAGGTAGTTGTGACATCATAGGCGACATTTGTCAGCTGATGAAACAGAGAGATCTTTGTCCAACACACATGCACAACAGCAGTTGCAGTTGTTCTACAAATGGTCTCAAATGCGTCAGAGGAGAGTAGTTTTGTTCATTCATTTGTAATGTGTGTGTGTGTGTGTGTGTGTGTGCGCGTGTGTGGTCCTCTTTGTGTGTGATCATGTGGGATGCACTAATTTAGTGTCTCTCTCTCTCTCTCTCTCTCTCTCTCTCTCTCTCTCTCTCTCTCTCTCTCTCTCTCTGTTGTCTACCCAAATGCTAAGTTCAGATCATACTCCAGGGTCAAGGACATTTGCACCCTTGAAAGGTTTTCTTGAATAATACCCAAACTAGTATGATTGTAGTATTATTGTAGTAAAACAAAGAAAAGTTACACAAGTTATAAACACATTTTTATAGAAAAAGTGTTTCAAAGCAGAGACAGATTTAGCAAACCAGATTTCAGCAGGTACGTCATTCCAGAGTTTGCCTGACCAGCTGATATGAGGGGGGTTGTAAGGTCACTAATATTTCTTGGGGTGTGGTTATGTAGAGCTTTACAATTAAACATTTAAAAATCGACACTGAAATGGACAGGCAGCCAATGTTCAGAGGCCAAGATTGGTGTTACGTGATCTCTTCTTCTTGAACCAGTGATTAGTCAAACTACAGGTTTTTGGACCAGTTGACAGATTTGAAGGGAATATAGAAGATATACCAGTATGGAAGGCATTACAAAAAAGTCCAAACATGACTAAAACAAAAGCATGAACAACCCTATGCAAGTATAATGCCCAAACACTGCAAACTTGTATCACGTCAGCTAGCATGCTAATGGGAGCTTAGCTCTAGGTAGCCTTACAGGGTTATCATTCTCTCTTGAGTTCATTATTTTCAAAATAAGTGCAATGTAGCCAAATATGTTGTAATGTTCAGTGATTTAATCTAGTAGAGACAGAACACCTTCACTTTGAGTTTTACTCCTTTATTTGTCAGAACTCAACCCGCTTTACTCTGCAGCCACTAAAATGCACTTGAACCACACTTCTAGAAAACTTGTCTCAGATACAACTATGTAAGGACAAGTAAACCTTTGTTTGTCTCTGTAATAGTAAACGTTTGATTTTGTTGATGATTTGACTGTGCCGAGCTCTCCATTGAATGCATGAGGCACTTGAAATGCCTTATGAGAAGCAGGTAAGGGATCATGCTATCATAGTGCATGCTGGGACACTTGTGCTGCAGTGCAGGGAATAACATTAGTGACACTGCTTCGGTCTAAGATACATTTCAAGTTTATTTTTATGCTGTAAAAACAAACTTTGAATTTTGACTGTAAATATTTGTCTTCCTAAATAAAAACCTGTTCACTCGATATTCATTAATCTGCAGAGAGTGATTTCAGTCTGGGTCTGACAAATATACTGTCTGGACCATCCCCTTTCATCCAATCAGTGAAAATCCTCAGCCTGGCAAAGAGTTTCACCTGGGACCACCATGAAAATTTAATTTCATGTTGAAATTGATTCACAATATTAGTTTCATTAAGTTGCATATTAATTCATTTGCACCTATTAAATCCAAATTAGATTGGCTCTTTTCCACCAAGTTAATTTTATACCCATTAGAAAGTAAATTCAGCACAGTCCAGCTAGTCCTCAAATGCCCTCTGGCTTTGTATTAGAGGAACATAGTCAGGTTTCTCCTGGGCCATTAGCATAGCTATTTTGATTCATCTATCCTTGACACATTAATGAGAAAAGCTTGTATTCTATCTTTGAAGGTTCAGTACAAAGCATGTTGCAATAATGTTTCTGAGAATATCCCTGAGAACAATTTAGTTTCAATGCTGTGAGTATTTTGATTATTTCACGTCCACAGGGATGATTATCAACAGATTCAGGAGGTGAATGATAAACATTGAGTGATGTATTATTGCTAATTTACACAAGATCACGAGAACTTTGAAATCTACTCTGAATGTACCCTGTTGGTACTGAACTTCTGTATTCTCCATTTGGCTGCAGTTTGTGTGCTGCACTGCCTGCCTTTGCGAGTGCTTTTGAATAGGTCTGTGTCTAATTAAATGAAAACAAACGATATGCCCAAGTTGAATACTTAACCTCAGTCCATTTGAAATGAGCTGGACACAGAGAAGGCTGCAGAGCTTCTGGATCTGGTTTGTATACAGTTTTTTCTTTGCCTACTAGAGTTCCAGCTAACATTTGTGAATGCAATGAATAAAATGTGTGCAAAGTCAAGTTTTCCTAAGCACATGTGATGAAGTCCTCTATAAAATCATGTTGTTTTTAATGCAGGGCTGTTTGAGGGCCCAAAGATCACGGCCATCCAAAATAGTTTTCTGCCTTGGCCCCTGTTTTTCCTGCTGCATTTCACAACTTTTGGAGTCTTTTGTTGCCACTGTCCCAATGGGGGGGCGGCTGTGGCTCAGTTAATAGAGTCGGTCGTCTCTCAACAGGAGGGTTGGGGGTTCAATCCCCAGCTCCTGCAGCCAAATGTCCAATGTCTCCTTAGGCAAGATACTCAACCCCAACTTGCTCCCGCTGCTTTGTCGGTGACAGGAACTTTTATTATATACTAGAAGAAGTAATTCCTAATGACAGAGAAGAATAAAAGAGAGACGAGGACTGTATTTTTTAACATTAGATTGAATCAG